CACGCACACACTTATCTCTTACCACGTAGTTGAAGATAAAGCGGGAGTGGGAGAGTTTGAGGTGTTTGAGCAGGCTGTAGAGTTTGCTGCAGTTCAGGGTACACCAGGGACAGTGAAGATCATCTCTCGCCTCCGTCTGCTGCCGCGTATTATTGTTGTACAGAAACTGAGGAAGAACAAACCATCGATTTACTACAAGATAAACCAGAGATGGTGAACCTACAGCAGATGTAAAGCAGGGTCATAAAAATCAGAGTTACTGTCACTCTTGACACGCTAAGGGCAAGCACCCAACAGCTAAAAATTGTCGCTACATTAAGTTTTGAAAAGGTGAATAATTACTAGTGGTGCAACGGATCACGGTTGATCCGTAATCTGAATTGTGAGATTTTTTATTCGTTGCACCACTAATGATTACCCAAAAAAAAAAAAAAAAAAAAAAAAAAAAAGGGGGGGGGGGGGTGATCAAAACATGACAGTAATTCTAAAACAGCTCCAAAAAACAGACCACAAAGACACTGCACATTTTATCAACCTAAACAAATGGTTCTTATAATAAGTGTGCCAGGCTCAAATGTATTCCTTACTGTTGTGTGGTGTACCTGATAAAATATACGTAGCTTCTGTCGCGGCTCACATGGGACCTGCTCTTTCTTCGTCTGAATGTCTGTGCTGACTGACTCTTTCACTGCTGACAGGAACAGATGGAGAAGTTCATTCTTGGAGAGTCACCAAATAACAAATTATGTGGACTTTTTTTGTAAACACACTGAAGGGCTTCTTTGAAAAGGAGAAATTGCATTTCCCCCCTCCCCGCCCAGTAACAAAAGATACACAATCTAAGTGCAAATACACCTGTTGATAAAGCCCATTTCAGACATGGAATATGTAACATTGTTGTAGCTTCACCTACATGTCTATGTAATGACATTAAAAAACACACGGTCACTGAAGAATTTCACCTTTGTTACAACACAGAGCACAAAAAGAGTTTCCTTCCCACCACAAGAGTAGAAGCACACCTAATGAGCAAATAAAGGAGGATGAGTGCTTACATTTCTGAAATGGAGAGCATAAGTGACAGGATTTAAAACTTGATGTGCAGATGAAAGGTTAAGCCACAGAGAAACAATCACAAGTGCTTAAGGTGAAAGAGATGAGAGAGATACTAACCCACCCCCTCACTAGGCAGGTCAAGTGTTCCTTTAACTACATCGTTAGTTATATTTAGTGGCATATAAGAACCCATATTGAATACTGACATTCATTCGCAAAACAAAGACTTTAGACACTCCTACTCTGTGCGCAGAAGTCCGAGAGATCTTCCAAGAAAGGTGTTGCCATGTTCCAGAAAAAAATAATAATAAAAATAAATAAATTATTGCTCAATAGTCAGCGATTTCATACCTGTTGATCTCTAATCTGGAACATAACCTGTCCTGGAGCGGGTTATATACGCAGCATAAGTTACCATGGCGAGCTACTCCTGTAAGAAGTAATCCACCTTTGTAGTACTGAAAACCCAAGGTTAACCCTCAAGTTGCTGAGATAAGCCAAAATCCAGCTTCACAGCAGAGACCTCTGGTCCCCTGTTCCAAAACCAACCTAAACGCAAACAGATCATTTATGACATGGTTACACTATCTTAGCATTAAATAAATTGAGCCATTAGGGGCTCTGACTAATGCTAGGGGACACTTTGGCTGAGGAGCACCACTGCAAAATGGTAACATTAGTAAGTATATCAGTTAGCACTGGAGTCAATGTAAATAATGTTACATCCAAACAGATGGCTAGCACTCACCATATCAAAACAACCCGAGCTTTTAGAGATAATTAATAGGACCAACTCATAACTGTGTGTGCGTGCACACATGTGAGTCCACACACAGTTACTAATGATGAGACGTCAGGCAGTGACTCATAACTGCTTTTTGCTCATTTGGAAGCATTATGCCAAATACTGATACATATAAAATACTCCCCCAAAAAAATAAATAAATAATTAAGTAGCGACATTGTGACTTTTACAGAAGGATTCACGGGATTGTTCCAACATGATGGTGACGTGCAGAGGTGCCTGCACATTTATGGGATGAAAAGCATGTCTGAAAGGGACTCAACAGCTATTTACACAGCGCCTTTTGCCAGATTCAGTTACAAATAGATCATTCCACGCCAATATCATAGTGGGCGAATAATCCAAAAGCATGACCCACTCGGGTTTGTCAGAGAATCTGTTCAGGAAATCTCTTTATTTGGCGTTTTGCCTGAACCCTTTTGCAGTGCTCCTAATTAATCAGAAGATCTGGCCTTCTCTTGTCATCTGTGGACATTTTCTGGTCCTCCTCTTGAATGTAATATAAGATAAAATGTAATCCAGGGATTTTGAAAAACCGATAGCATCACACTGATAGAATTTTTCCACGTCATTGCAAGTTCAAGCTACCGTGAATTGTTTTTGTACTTACTCATGAGGGCAGTTCGGTGGTTGCTGGTTCTGGTCTCCATAGGGCTGGAGCTATCCGAGTTGCGCGTAGAGAGGGGTTTAGCCACAGGAGCAGTGGACTTTCCACTGCCATCACCTGTCCAACGCAGCGTGAACTGCAATGTGGGTCCCTGAGAAAATGTCTCAAATGGTGGCAGTCTCTGTGGGACAGCCATGGTCAGTGAAGCAGTGAGGTGGACAAGAAGGAAATTAGCATTCAAGTTCAATATGACAAACACAATTACACCTTCCTTTCAGAGACCTAATCCAGCCAGCCTACCTTCCCATCAAGAATGGTTTCCCATGTGGCTCGCTTCTTGCTCACAGGGCTGTCGTCCATCCCTTGCATTGACACCTCATACTCCCCATCCAGCAGCTGCAGTCTCCTGTGGACAAAGCAGTGCATGTTTTGAGGAGTACAGGCAAAAGCGACTGGAAGACGGACATATTTAGAACTTAAAAAGGAAAGAAAGTACAAATCCTTACCTATTCTTATCAAAGACGGTCATCTGTGCAACATAGGTCTCTGTGGTCTCGCCTTCATCCCTATGGGATGAACTTCGCTTCTTTCTAGTAGGAGTATCTGTTACATCTTCATGTTTAAAAATAAACAAACAAATAAATAAACAAATAACAACTGAGACCAAGAATGTAATATCTAGCCAGCAACTATTTCAGTTACAGCTGGTATCATTTTCAGATGAGATGCTCACAGAAAGAATATTCTATCCCTTATGCTACTCTCCCAACAAACTGCACTGTTAAATTATTCATCTAAATGGTGCACAGTCAAAAACAGAGCAAAAAGGTTTTACTGTGGGCTTCCTACCAATGTTTTCATTGGCCTCTCCATTCACTAGACCACTGGCATCCCTTCTCCCTGTGCGCGATACCCTGAACAGAAGCGAGTAGGACTTCACCATGTGGCTGTTGCTGGGCTCAAATTCATTGCTGGGAACCAGTAAGGAAGGGTAGGAGCCGGGCTTGGTTTGGTTACTGTCGGGATTCAAAGGCACCTGCTTTTTACCTGTAGGCACTTGCTTTATCGGGCAGCTGACATCCTGAAATACAAAAACAACCACGAGTGAGCAACGGCAGACGCATTGACATGTTGCCAAAAGTGACAGACCCAGTGTTTTACTTTACCTTGCGTTTTTTATGGCAGACTTTGACAAGTAGCACCTCTAAGGACACAGAATTTTGTTCATTTTCTGAATTCTGAGATGGCTTTTCTAGAGGGAAACAAGAAGAGTTTGTGTCAATCACAAACAACTGTATATTCTCCTTCTTTCTTATATACATAAGAAGCATCTCTTAACATCTAAGGAGCTTGGAAAGAAAAGTGTCTGGACTTCTTTAAGTTGCTTGAAGACGTTTCACCTCTCATCCGAGAAGCTTCTTCAGTTCTAGGGTCAAATGGTTGACCTTGGACTGAGAACCTTCACAGACATATCTCTTAACATCGATTAATGTTATCCTACATGCAACTGTAAGACTGCATAGCAGTATGTTGGTACAAAAAAAAAAAAAAGAAGGTTCTTGTGCCTTGCTTCTGAGTGACTACTTTTGTCATTTCTATCAATGTGGTTGTTTAACATGTGTCAAAGCAAAACCAAATTTCAAACAGCTGAATATTGTAGAAATTTCTGACACACCTAAGCATTTCTGAGTCATTTCTTTCATAGGGAAATACACAAAACATAGGTACTTGGTGAAGATTAACATGTGCTTACCATCCTTATGGAAGAACCCAGTGAATGTTAACTGTAGATGTGAGGACAAGCTAAAATAAAATAAAAAAAAATGCACAGGTGAAACTAGGTCATATCAAGTGCTACAACTGTTATTATGAATAGTAAAAAAACAAAAACAAAGCCCTTCAAGGTACATATAACTGTATCAACAACGCCACAGTGTCAGAAAAATTCGGTTTGTTCAATACAAAATACAGAAAACAGATGCAACACTTGTAAAGCTGTGTTACCTTGGAGAATCCTGCTCCCCCTTCATCTTCACCACTGTCTGCAACATATCATCCACTTTGAATGTTTTCCTGGAAAGAAGTCAGAGAAGGTTTGTTCACAAACATCGTCAGGAACAAATCATCTTTAACCAACTATGACAGTGCATCGTTATGACAAAAAAAAGAAAAAAAAAAAAAGAAGGATTCCTGTTTCTCCAGACTCCATACCTTCTGGCATTTGTTCGACCATTTCTGTGAGACATGAAGGTGAGTGTCCTGTGCAAAAATATGGGCTAAGAAAAAAAAAAAAAAGGGTGGGCAGATATTAGTCATTTTCCATCAGCAGTTTAAAGCAGTTAAATTAAGATATAAATGTGTAGAGTATTCACTTACTGCAATCAAATTCCTTGTGCGTAGAAATCTGTATATCTGAGTTGGTTCTAGAAATACAACAAGTCTTGTTTTAGACAGTATCACACCCCTCTCACATCATCATCATCATCATCTAAAGAAAGCTACTTTTGGCTGCTCCCTCATTTTATTCACAAGCGGCCACCACAGCAGGGAGCTCCACGTGCTTGATTTGGTAGAGTGGTACACCAGATCCCCTTCTTGTATGTCTACCAAGGGAATTGGGGATCTTCTGCTTGTTAAGCAAAGTGTAAATCAATGCAACTAGGGAAACACTGACAGCACGTTTGTAGAAAGAGAACAATATTAAAAGCCTGAATAAGATCTTGGGAGGGGGAAGAAAATCCTTAAAAGAACAGTTCTAGGTTTTATTAAGGCCAGGTGATCTGCAATACCACATGTGGCCCCTTTGTCAATCAGCTCATTATTTTTGACTTGATCTGAAAAACCCATCCATATTACTGTAGTGCATTTCTCACATGCCAACACTTCTTCTGGTATGTGGTGACTAATTTGGCATGACATCCCCCCTTCCCCCCTCTAAAAAAGGAAGAAAGAAAAAAGTATTGGGCGTGTGTTTTAGCCTGATTTCAGTCTGAGAATTGTTACCTTACTACAGTAGTCATTACATTAAGTTAAAAACAACATTAAGGACTCCATTTGGAATTAAACCAAATGCCAGCCAGTCAAAAAAGCAACTAAAAAAAACCCCACAATAAATCACAGTAAAAATGATCAGAGTAGCGAAACAATCACGGAAAGCACAGGAAAGTCTCTCATGAACCCAAACCGTAAACTTGTACTATAATGTAACAAGTAGTGAAGTCTCACTTTCAAAGGCCTGTAGGAACAGCTCATGGTCGGCCTGAATCTGCTCCATCTTCGGCTTTTTTACAGAGTTCATCATTGCTGATGAGGCAGGGTAGACGGCGCCGTTAGCTTTGCAACTGGCCCCGCTCATGATATGACCTGAGTTCTGCGGAGTGAGACAACGCCACACGTTAGAAGTGAAAAGATTAGGGCATAGGTGCGGGAAACACAACAAGTTAGCTTAGCAAAACACTAGCATTAGCACGCGAGCTAACGGCTAGAAGCACAGCGCTAACACGCTAGCCTGCCTTTTACCGCACTATTTATTCGGTTAATCAAACCGCCGTTAACAAAGCTTCCAAAATTTGTAACGTGGCAAATATGGGGTATATAAAAAAGTAACGTACCCTGGCTGATGGCATTAATTTGGTGGCCTCGCTGCCTCTAGCACAAGCCTGGCAGACTCAACAGCAGAAACCTGTGAAGAGGAGGCGACAAGACGCTGGCTAGTTAGCTAGCAGTGCTAGCATAGTTTACTTCAAAACAAACCTCCGGACACTCGAAGCTGTTCTGCATTCATCCGTCCGAAACACTACCAGTAGTTCTGGGTATATTTGACCCGATTATTGATATTCTATCTGTTACTTGTTCTCAATGCGGTATCCCTTCAATTTGTACTGAACAACAGAGCACTGGTCAGTTGTCAGCCAATAGGAGATGAGCGGTGCCAATGCAGATCTTTGATTGGCTACTCAGCTTCAGTGACGTCAGACAACGCGCTCTCGCTTTCTACGATTTTGCGGGAAATCGAGTCCATCTGCATTCATCATATCCAGACGAGCACACAGCAGCCAGAGCTCTGTCATTCACAAAATGTACTCAAGAATTCACAATATAAACCCTACGAACCCAAATATATTCAGTCTGACTATTTATTCAATGAAAAATTAATAGCAAATCAAAGATCGGAATTAATATTTATATTTTCTGTTTTATTGCATTGACCGCATTGTTGTTGAGAGGTACTTCACATTTGTACGAATATTTTCAGTAGAACATAACGATACAGGTGCTGTAGGTTAAATTGTGCTGTAAAAGTAGAAAAGTGTGGATAAAATCTATGTTAGTTAAAAATGTGGACGCTAAGAACATTAAACAAATAACCTAAAAACCTAACATTTACTTTTTAGTTTTTAATAATCTCGACATTATTCAAACAGATTGTACTCTGCCAGCATGTTACAATAACTGTAATATTTACATACGTGGTATAAATGCTACGATTATTGTAATTTTTAAAATATTATATTCTAATTCATGGAAGACGTTAGAAAAAATATTACTTTATATCACGGGCGTTTCTAGGTTTTTTGTTGTTGTTTTTATTAATGGGGTGGCACAGGGAGGAATAAGAACACAAAGGAGACTAATGTGTGAACCCTTGTGTCCTGTTATAGATTTATTACATGAAAAGTGCTGCTGTACTCCTTCTTTTTCTTCTCTTTCTTTCAGATACTCCCTCTGTCTAAATCTCACCTTTTCCATCTCACCTGTCACGCCAAACTTCTGCAAGTCTTCCTTCACTACATCCACAAACCTCTTCTGAGGTCTTTCTCTTTTGCTCCTGCCTGGCAGCTCATTATTCAACATCTTCTGTCCAGCATATCCACTACCTCTTCTCTGCACATGTCCAAACTACGTCAGCCTGTCGCTCTAATTTTGTATCCAAAGCGTTCAACCAGGGGCGGATCTAGAGAAATTTTCTTGGGGTGGCATGAGGGTAGCATGGAAATCAAATAGGGTGGCAAAATCAAAGCCTTTTTTGAAAAACACACATGCAAGTGTTACATATGGGTAAAATGATTCAAATGCAGTAAGTATACACGTTTCATACAAATATAGTCTATCACTTAATTATTTTCTGTTGCCCACATAATTAAAATTTCAGTGACATAAAACATGTGAATTTACATTTTTATGTACTTTTGATTTACATTTGTGTTTAACCTTCAAATTGTTTTAAATAATTTTTCCCCTTGCGTTGCTTGGTATCATTCTTTTTAGCTCAACCTCGTGTATCTGAATTTACAGTTATTTTTTTATTAACATACTATATTAACACAACTGATCTGAAATCAAACACAAAACATAACATCCTAGAAGTTGTTTTGTTTTGGGGGTTTTTTTTGGGGGGGGTAACTGTAAAAACCACAGACACGTTTAGCAAATTATTTTCATAACTTCAAATACAAATATAAATTGTAAATTTTGAAAACTTATGCTCAAATTTTGTGAATTATAACGTTATATACAACTATTTCTCTAAAAATGTAGCCAATGCATCTGGTGTTTTTTGTTTGTTTGTACAACCATTTAAAAATACTACTATAACTAAAATGAGAGAACAATCAGTTGTCACAGTAAGATGCCCGACAAATTATTTGTGCCAGTAAAAAAAATGTTTGTCTGACACAAGACAGAGGAGAACACCGCAGGGATAAACTCTGCAGGCCTGACCAGTAGCGGTTTTTGATACGGGCGACACGGGCGGTTGCCCGGGGCGGCATCGTGGTGGGGGGCGGCATCACGGGCATCGGCAAAAAAATAAATAAATAAATAAATTGCTTGTACTCATGCTGCCCCGACATCAGCCAGCGCATATTGGGAATGGCATAGGCACCGACCGGTTTTCTATTGCCCATTTGCTGGGAGTAAGGGTGCCCTCCGTTTGCAGGTGCGCCTGCTGCTTGCAGCACAGGAAGGTGAGGGCGGGGCGGCGGGGGATTCTCTGGCTGGCTGGAGCAGCATCTAATAACCAACTCGCAAAATAAAACAAAATAAAAACAAACCAACAAACACGAAAACACCAGACATTATGATACAGACTTATAATTTGCACCGATGTTTTTTTCAAAATTCTATACGCAAAAAGTGAGCGAGAGCCCTCGGTGCGCCTGCTCGCTGCTGAAGTCAAAGTAAACTTTATTGTCATCTCCTCTACATACAGTCCAGTATATAGAGAGACGAGACGACGAGGCTCCAGTTACAGCAGTAAACAAACAATATATATATAAGAAGAGTAAGAAAATAAATATACACTTTAGGACTCGGGGTAAAGGGATCAATAACAATTTAAAATTTAAAATTTACAGTTTGATGATTTAAAGTCTCACACACAACCCGTCGAAAGGAGGCCGGCTGCTTCCAGATAGAGCACATTTCATTCATAATGATGTAAATCCAAGCCCATTATGTATTCATGATTTGAATCCTGGGTTGTGTGAAATCCCAGAAATAAACCCTAGACAAAGTGAATCTGTCAACTAAGGTGTAGGACTTTTAGGTTATGTTGTGGTGATTCTCGGGTTGGGGGATCTGTGTTCATACTGGAGTGCAAAATTAAAATCAATGTAAGATGGACAAGAAAAGTTCAAAGCCATCAGGTGCTCAGTTTAGAAAAACTAGAAGAGGAGGAGAAACGAGCAAAAGATGCAGCTAAGCAGATGTGTCATTGGATAATGACAGGTCATCCTGAAACAATCAGAATCAGAATACTTTATTAATCCCTAAGGAAATAATGTGGATTACAGTTGAGCCAAAAAGAAATGTAAAAATAGTAACAGTAACAGACTAAACTCCAAACATTATGTTACAGATTTTAATATTAATTAGTCATTGTCAATTGTTGATTTGTCCTGTTCTCATTGTATGACGTATTATGATGGCTGTTTGGTAGCTGTTTGCATACTATGCATACTCTCTCTCTCTTCATATGTCTGTGTGTGTTTGTCTGGCAAAATTCAGTATGGTTCCGACAACAGTTTTATGTTAATGTATAATCCTTAATATGTTTTATGTGTGTGTGTGTGTGTGTGTGGGGGGGCAGAGGGAGTGTTCGCCCAGGGCGCCAAACAGGCTAGGACCGCCACTGGGCCTGACAACAGGAGATGTATCACTCCTCTGGTTTTCCACCTGGAGATGGTGTTTACATTGAAATCTACCTTTGTGGCCTTCATTTGTACCCACTGACACACAAAACAAAACAATGACTACACAAGACACTAACTACACAACACAACATAACACACAAACTATAAACTTCATGCTAAACGTCATAAATCTCTCGCATCTCAAAACTCTCTCTCTCTCTCTCTCTCACTCGTTGGCTTTTTTTTCTCTTTTGCACTGTAATTAGAAAATCTTATTTTAATAAACAATGCTGTCATATGCAAAACTAGGGTGGCACATGCCACCCCTTGCCACCCCTCTAGATCTGGCCCCTGGTTTAACCTGAGTTTTTCTTTTAATATATTTGTTTCTAATCGTGTCCATCCCGATCACTCCCAATCAAATTCTGAACATCTTCAGCTCTTCCACCTGTCTTTTCATAAAATGGTGCTCCACAAGATTTTTAATATATTTCTTTTGTTGGATAAACCTTCTGCAACAAAAAGAAAGTATGTAGACTTTTCATTAAGTAAAATGTATAAATTATCCTACACAAGTAGTGTAGAGTAGTAAATAGTGCATTCTTTAACTATATTTAAAGTACCTAAAGTAAGCAGTTTTTAGAATTATATACAATACTATGTACATATGTACTATGTACATTGGATCATGATTACTGATGCATTGATGTGCGTACATATATACACATCAATGCCCCAGCTATTGATTATTTTATTATATATATTTGAGGGTAGCTTGATATATTGCATTATTATGATGCAGTTAATGTGAGGGGGCTTGTGCCAGCTCATTTTCCCCCTCGTTCATATAGTACTACATTGTGGAGAGAACTTGAAAATTATATATTGTGCAAAACAACATACGAAGTCAAAATTGAAGGGAAGGACATTATCAGTTATTTTGAAACCAAAGAAAAAAAAAATTATGTACCATTGTCAATCTTTATATCTTACTAGGGAAATTCCACATACATAAATGTAAATTTTAAAACTCAACCCCAATATTTAATTTGTTTTTTACTTGAAATTGAATATTACTTAAACTCTCTTAAATTAACTTCAAATAAAAGAGGTTCATCATTGATTGAAATTCATTCAGAAATTTTCAACAAATGAGCTGTCACAGATATAATTTTCAAGTACAAAGCTATTATGAAGTCTGTCACATCCCTCTTTTTTCCCTTTATTTATTTATTTACCCTTCTTATTTTCATTGTAATACTTATTGTTACTCTTATTTGCCCTGTATGTCTACTGTACAAACTGAGCTGGAATGACTGACTGTTCACGTTACAATTTCAAATAAAGTTCTGAAAAAAAAAGCTTTCCCTACTCATGTTCCCCTGGTGTATATCAAAATTAATCTGAGGTGAGAAAACATACACCAAACCGTTTTCGAATATAAAAGGACAGGTAAACTTTCGTTTCATCTTTAATACGTTGTGAAACAGCGAGTTTGGGAGTTTAAAACTCTGAGTTAACAAAGGTTTCCTCCAGCTCAGATTTCCTGTCGGACCTATTTGCAGACGGAACCGGAAGCTCCGCTAGTCACAACTTCCACACATGTGTAATTGGGGATAGAGTTGGCCTCTCGTGGTGTTCTGTGTACAGTTGTTATAACATTATTAAGTTTTACCAAACAGCAGCTGAACACGAGCGTTTAACGGCTGCTTCGACGAGATGGCGGAGATCGTTCAGCAGCGGATCGAGGACAGAATCCCTGAGCTGGAGCAGCTGGAGAGA